CGACTACTCACTCAGACTACGCGCGATTTAGACCTGATTTGCTATCCTACAGCACGCCTTCCCCCCCTCTTCCAATGAACTCGAACCTCCGAATTCGACAAACCCAATCAAACGATCTACCTCTGATTGGCTGTCTGCCGTACGTAAACTGCTTCACTTCTCCCACCACTCAACTTTCAATGAATCCAACCACCATATCATGTTATTAACCCTTCTCCTTCCACCAGGCTCGATCTGCTACTCTATATCGCGAGCTTTGTCGGTGAAAGTGAACTGATCAGACTCAGCTGTTGCAACAAGAGCTTGCGACGTGCCTTGATTCGCACCCGATTCCTATGGACCAGACAGCTCACCTTGAACGTAGCCCGAACCGATCTGGCCGATCAGATCAGAACCCTATACCTCGATCGCATCCAATCCACCCAACCCACCCACCTCACCACCTCACCACCACCACCACCTACATCAACTACCGCCAAATGGCTCAGTCGGATCAACAAGAACAAAGATCTGATCCTCAACACCCTGAGGATCAGGCTCCATGGCCCGCAAGTCACCATCGATACCATCCACAACAAGCTGGTCATCATACCCGACGAACCATACTGGAACACTCAAGCACTCATCTTCAACTTCAAGCTCATCAAGGAACTCATGCACAAACCACTCTCCCCATCCTCCTCTGAACTCGAGCCCGGTACCCCTCAGCCCGAACGCTTACAGGTTCTCGATATCAGACTCGACGGTCAGTTCGAGCAGACACTGACCGCAGCCCATGAGGCTTGGTCTCTTGCTCAGACCCCATGGGCAAAAACTATCAAGGAGTATCGAGTTGAGTGTTTTCTCAGCCAACGCATTCAAATCTATCCATCCATCGATTCAGGATCGTTCAGTCCTACCGCATTTCGAATAACTGATCGAGTGATGGAATTCAGAGAGATTCCATCCTTCACTCTGTTCTTGAGAGCCCCGTCTCGATGACTAAGTTTACAAAAGGACACTGACTGTTGGTTAAACCTTTACCTTCCCCCCCCCCGAACCACCTCTCGAAGCTTTCCGTCGGCTACGGTCTGGCTCGAATCCCTTCATTTTCATTGATCGCGCTGTCGAGCTGGATGCCTAATCTGAAGAGTTTCGAAGTTAGGATGGGTACCCTGACCGCCAATGAGCCCAGTCTACGTCGTCAACAGCAACGCCAACAACGCTTCGTGCTCGGTGGAACGGACTTTAATGAGATCACACCAGGTCTCAGGTCCGCTCAACTCATACCCTGTACAATCGAACGCCTCCACCTCGAAGGCATCTGCTTCAGCCCTAACCTACTCATCCTACCCCAACTGTTCCCAAATCTCAAGTTTATCATCCTCAAGAGCCTCACCTGGGGAAGAATGATATATGAATTGATTCGAAGATCTCCTGGCTTAGAAATCTTGAAGATGATCGACTTTTGTTTCGATCAAGAGATGGAGGAAGACTTGCCAAGTGATTGGAATTTCAATTGTTGGGTTAGTGTAACACCCGTACTCACATACATGCATGCATACATACCTACAATACAGACCGATCTGACTTGATTTTACCACATATTTTTTTTAGGAAGAAGATATTAGTGAGACGGGATCGGACGAAGGCGGAATGACCCTCAAAGCGCCACCGATCAACGCGATGAACCTGATAGAGCTACATCTCTTGGGAGAGGGCACCCCACACATCTGGTCTGTCCTGGGAGAATGTATCCAAAACCCGATCATCAAGATGCCGAAACTGGAGAAGTTGGTCTGTGAATCGCTGGACCTCGAGGAGGAGGAACAGGCCTTGATCGACCTCGCCGATCTCGCCCCCAATCTCCGTGAAATCTCGATCCGTAATTGTATTCTGAGGGACGAGGTCGATCTTTACCATTGTATCAGATGTTTACCTGATCTTGAACTAGTCCGTCTCATTCCCATTCTATTCTTGAGGTTTTCTCCTTCTGACTATGTGTTTTTTTTAATAGTTGGATTGTAGGTTGACTGAAAACATCACGTCAAACCTAATCAATGCGCTAGCACTCTCTGTGCCAAACATTCGACACCTAGACGTGCGAGGATGTCCATACGTGCACGTGACTTCAGTGGCGCGACTAGCGGAGACCATCCGGGACTCGAGCGATTCGGAGCGGCGGATTGAGTATATTGGGGTGGACAAGCCTCTCGAGCCGACTTTCGCGCTGGAGAGTGCTCAGGAGGACTCGGTGAAATGGGAGATCTGGCAGCTCTGGCAGGCCTGGAACTGGCTCGATTTTACACACGTGCTGCTCGACCAGGAAGAGTGGAAAGCTCGCAATCGCGGACGCAAGGATAAGATGCCCGTCCGACCTGACCCTCCCGTCCATCTGCCCGTCCATCGTCCCCAGGAACTTCAACAGACCTCCTCCCACGGTCCACGGATCCGATTGACCTGTCGGTCCCAACAGGAGGGCCAACGGCCCGGTCATTCTCAAGAAGCAGACGAGGAGGAAGAGGAGGAGATTGATGAGGAGGAAGACGAGGAGGAGGACGAGGAGATTGATGAGGAGGATTGTGAGGAAGAGGACGAGCAAGGTGAACTGGAGGAGGAGCCCGTGGACGAGGAAGAGGAGGATCAGCAGCAGCAGCAGGAGGAGGAGGATAGCCCAAGCCAGCAAGCCCGTCAGCCACGTCCCGGTCCGTTCCAGAACCACCATCCACAAGCCCACAACCGGATACCCTACCCGTCCCACCATCCGCCCTCACAGCCCGCACCCACTCCTTCTGCGCCTGTTGCCTCGTCCAATCATGACCGACCCGCTCCCGCTCCCCCATCCGTTGCTCCACCCGCTGCCTCTTCTCACACACGTGAAAGTCATCAGACAGCCGGTCAGACATCTTCTTTGGACCCAAATCTAAAGCAGAACTTGGTCGAAAACGACTCCAACTCTCATCGTCCTCATGATCCTACTATACAAACCGCAGCTCCTCATCCCATTATCAAGCAGGATGAGACCTCGAATGGGAAGCTATTGCCGATCGAGTCTACTAATCATCATCATCATCAGAAGGTAGATTCGAATCCTGGTGTGAATGATTCCAAGTCAGATCTGAATGAATTGAGATCGGATGAGAGCGAGAGTCAGATCAACAAGGGCGTGGATGGAGATGGAGAGGCGAGGAATGGGATCTCTGCAAACGGTTCGGACTCGAGGACTGCCCACGTTCCTCCTCCACAATCTGAGCATCCTCTCCGCCCACCCTCTTCATCCCCCTCTCCCGCCCCTCTGCTTCCTTCTTCTGCCCTGCCTCCTCCTCCTCCCCTGCTTCCGCGTGATCTTCCTCAATCACTCCCTCCTAAATAAAATAAAAAAAACCCACTCTTGTGATTTATGTTCAAGTCCCACCCCCCCCCCCCCTCCGGCCCTTTCTTTTCTTTTCTCTTCCGGGTGGGGAACCCCCTCTCTCTCTCTCTCTCCTGGTTTTTTTTTTGGAAGGGTGGGGGATTTTTTTTTTTTTAAAAAAAAAAGGGATTTCGAAAAAAACCACAGAAATAGAGAACCTAGCGGCCCATTATAAAGGAAAAAATTGTAATTGAAAAGGTGAAGGATAATGGTTCCTAAAACGTGTTACACTGCCAACTGCCTACCGTCTCCAGGTAT